CCATCCTTCGGGTAGTGCGCATTGCCCTCCTTGTGTATACACCCTCCCCTCGCCTCCTCCCTCCTCGCGGCCGCCGCCGCCGCCGCCGCCTCTTCGCGCCGCTCTCCGCTGCCCTCCCGCCTCCTCTCCCTCCTCTCCCGCGGCCTCCCTCAACTGCGGGGGAGAAAACCAGCCCCCGCCGCGGCCCAGCCGGACGCGCAGGGCAGCGACCCGGCTCCGGGTCACCGGCGCGGCGGGCGCGGGCGGGCGCGCGCGGCGACTCCTGCTCGGGGCTCGGCGGCGCCGCGGGGCAGAGGATTAGAGTCGCAATTAGCTCCGCGCGCCCGCGCCTGCCGCGCTCCGCGACAAAAATGCGCCGTTTCCCCTCCTTTCGTCGGGCGATCGCCGCCCGCCTCCACTGGGGCCCGAGCCTTGCCCTCGGGGCCGCGGCCGGGACCCTCCCGGAGCGGTGCGCCCAGGCCCCGCGCCCTCCGCGGCCCAGCCCCCCGCCCCCCGCGGCCGGCCACGCGGCGCCCGGGCCTCCTCCGGGCTCGGGAGGGGGTGGGGAGAGGCTGATTTTAATCATTGTCATTTCATCTGATGTAATATTTCCCCGGGCGCTTTCAGCTGGGCATAAATTTTCGGCTCCCAAATAAGTAACACAGGGCACGTTTCTCACATTTCTTGACTCCTCGGTTACAAAGAGGAGAGCAGCCGCCGCCGCGGCGCCCGGGGCTGGAGGCGGGACTTGGGGACAAACTGGGATGCGAGTCGGCGGCGGCGGGGCCGGGGGCAGGGCCGCCCCTCCCCCTCCCCGGCCGCCCGCCCGCCAGGGTCTCGGCCCGGCTGCCCTCTCCCGAGGAGCAGCCTCCGCCGTGACGTCTGCGGACACGCGGTCGGCCACCGCGGGGGAGGGACCGGCGGGGGCACCGGCCAGACGCGCCATTTCCTTTGCGCGCGCGGCGCGAAGGGGACGTCGGCGGCCAAGAGTCCCCGTCGTGCCGGTCACCGTGTGGGTTCTCCCTTCCTCCTCCTCTCCTTCCTCCTCTCCCGCCTCCTCCTCTCTTTCCTCTTTCCCTCGCGCCCCGCTCGTCCCTCCTCCTCCGCGACCATTTCTCGGCTCCTAGGAAACGGAGCGCGGAGCCTCCAGCGCGCCCGGCCTGCGCTGCGCCCCCGCCTGGCTCCCTGGGTCCCAGGCCGGAGCCGGGCTCTGGCGGTCGGGCGGGTGCGCTCCGGCCTGGGGCTGCGCCGGGACCCCCACCCCGAGCTCCAGCTGGGCCTGGGCGCCCTCTCGCGGCCGCACTCCCGGGGGGCTCTGGGGGCGGGCCTGGAGCGGGAGGGGGGGCCGGTGGGGAGAGAACCAAGTGGGGACCTTCCTCTCTTGACTAGGGGACTCGGGGACCCCGCGCGTGGAGAGTGTCTGGACCGTGCTCCTGTAACTTCTCCACGCGGGGATGAGCAGAAACTTTCCTCCTAAGGAAAGGTTCTACTTATTTATTTATTTTAGAGCTCGAACTGCAGGAGAAGGGGGAAATTTTCTCATTAAAGTTACATCCCTGCAGTTAGTTGAATTACTTGATGTATGCAGAAGATGTTGTAAATTTATAGATTTAAATAGCTTACAAAGATGCCGCAGGCCCCATCAGTTAATTTCCTTAATTTATGGATTCTGAGCTGCTCCTGGAACAGATAGGGGCCCTGGAAGTAGGTCAGGGATCTATACAGGGGCTCCAGCGCGGCCCGCGGGCTGCCCACTCTGCCCCCCACGCCCTGGCACCCCCGGGCTTCTGGTCCCCAGCTGCTACTAAAGAGCGCCATGCTCTGTGCCGGGCACCCAGGCCACGCCAGGCCCTAGGGGTCAGCTGAGCTCTGTGGCCAGCTGTCCCATGCAGGACCTAGAATAGCAAACCTCCCTTCCACTCCCATCCCGCTCAGCATTGAAGGGACAGACCCAGATAAGAAGGGCAGCAAGTGTTCAAATACTTCCACTGCTCTTAAATGTCCTCCCTTAAATGCTGGCTGGGATCACACAGACAGAACCTTCCCCCCTTCCCAGGCCTTTGAGGAGGACACAGTGAGGCAAAATGCACAAGGCTCAGGTTTGAGGAGCAGGGACCTACCGAAAACTCGCTTGTCATGGCCCACGTGGCCCCCAGTGCTCCTCACGCCTCTTTTTCTCCTCTTCTCCTAGGTGGCCGCTATATGCCTTTGTTTTGTGTTCAGTATGGGTGAATATATACATATAAATTAATACTTAAAAGATTGGTATAAGCGAAACTGTTTTAGGAAGCCACACGGCAATGTGATTAGTATTGGTATTCATGATTTAACATTTCTTTTCCCACTAGATGAAGTTTCTAAGATTTGCAAGGTACATGTCAAGGACGGGTGTCTAAATGGATTTTTATTTATTCACAACTCCAAGACTAATTGCTTCTCTTTGCCTCAAGGCCATGAGATTGGTTTTAATATGACACTTCAAAAGTATTCATGGAACTACAGAGATACTAAGTGTCATTGTTTAAGAGACAAATCTCACCATGGTACTGGTGACCCTGAAAATAGGATGTTCCACTTTATTTTAAATTCCTACGTTTTTGTTTTTTTTTTGAGTTTCACTTTATACCAATTATGTTAAAAATGTACAGTTTAGTCGAAACAGGAACTGACCATTTTGAAAGACCTTTATTTCCTTAATACTGCTGAGGACTTTGTTTTCCTATTCCTGAATCCTTTTATTAAAAAGCTGAACTTTATATGTGTCATTAAGAAGAGTAAGTTTGGGTCATAATTTATTCTCAAGTGTTTTAAAAGTTCCTAGCTAAATGTCAACCATCTCTTACACTGAGAGGCTTGGACGTTTACTCTGATAGGCATTTAATGATCTGTGGTATAGAATGCAATGGCAATGCATTATTTAATTGACAATGTATAATTTGGACAGAAACTATATTGAAACATCTTGTGGAATACATCCTGTTTCATTACTACGGTTCAAGAGATGAAACTGGATGTGAGTCTAATCAGAACTTGCTCTGTCATTAAGATTGGACTAGCACTTAGGCCACGACAGTTCATAGTTTAAAAAGCAGATTCGAGCCTGTGCTTGCTTTGAGGTTCTTCTGCGCAGTCCCGTGACAAGTACAAAATCATCTGCAGGATCGAGACCTCAGGTTTCCAGATGTTTCAGGTTGGCTTCCAATGTGACTTTGTACTTTGTTGTTGTTGTTTGCAGACTGTGTTTAAAAATTAGGACTTTAATAAGGAAGGGAAAATGAACCCAAAATGAGATTACAGAATCTGGTGAATCCAGCGTTCTCAGGAAGGCTGTGACCAGACCAACAGATGAACAGACCGAGGGACCTGGCTACTGCTCTCCTGGGGGTGTGGTGGGGGACTGGGGTATGAGGCAGGGCTGTCTCCTCCACCACCCCCTGGCCTTCCTGGAGTGCAAGCCAGACCCTCCTAGGTCTGTGCCCACTCCAGGCTCAGCCCCGGTCCAGGCTGGGATTGAGCGATCTGGCCCAGAGACCACAGTCTGACATCTGCTTGGCCTCTGCCTCTACCCTGGGAGTCCCCCCCCAATCTTCCCTCCTAGCGAGGACCCCAGAGAACGCAGAGATTAGGGGAAGTGATGAAACGGATGACACATGGGACTGTTAGCCAGCCCCCAACCCCACCCCAAGCATATTGCCCCTGCTTGTCCTTGAAAAGAACAAAACAAAACCAGGTAACACTCACTGAGCTCTGCCCAGTCCCTGGCACGTACTTAGCGGGCGCTTACGATTTCTGGTGGGCAGGAAGGCAGGGGCTGCCTCCAGGTGCTACAGGCCACCCCTCCTTCCTACCTGCTGCCTGTAGCCCAGGCGTGCCTCTCAGAACTAAGCCTGCCATTGGGTGACAACAATGACATAAGACCATGTCCTCCTGACTAGGAGTCTTACCATGGTGGTGGCCTGTGCCGGGCTTCCAGGGAGCCAGGAGCCACCACGTTGCTCAGAACTCTGCATTTCAGCCTTTTTCCCGGGGAAGTTTCAGTGTTTTCACCAAATTCTCAAAGGGTCTGTGTGAATTTGGGTACAAGTGGCAAAGGCCACCTCAGAATAGCTTAATGACGAGGAAAGTTGATTTGGTGGCTTGGCGGAGTATCCGAGGACCTGGGTCTCTCCACTTGCCTCTGCCATCCTCAGCACGGTGGCCTGTTCTCATGCTCCTCTTCTCTGGTCTCAAGACAAAGGAGCTCAAATCTTCACACCTTCCTGGACACCCATAGAGAACAAGGAGATTATCCTAGTGGCCCCCAAGCCCTCCCTGTCACATCTTATTGGCCTGAACTGGGTCACATGCCAACTTGCTAGCCAATTACTGGCAGAGGGATCGGCATAGACCAATCAAGTTTACCCCTGTGCTAGATAGGGATAGGGTTAGGGTTGGGGTTGCTGTCCTGAACTGTCGGCAGCAAAGTGGACATTGGGTGAAGCATGCCCTCCTGGGGGAAGGATGGGTTTTGCCTTTAGGGTTGTGCCCCGAGAGCTCAAGAACTGTCACCAGAACCCTGAGCTGGCCTGACACTGGGGAGAGGCCAGCCCCAGGGCCCGTAGCAAGGACTGTGAACAACGCACAAAAGCTTGCTCGAAAGTTGAGGCTGTTGCAGTTGAGGGGGCCGGGGAGGCTGTCTCTGGGGTCCTCCAGTTTTCCCAGTTGATCTCATGTAAGCCCAGATTGCATCCCTGGAACAACGGCTTTAAACACAAGTCGCGTTCTTGTCAGAGCCGAACCCAGGCAGGAGCAGAGAAGGGAAGGGGAGGGGAGGGCAGGGTAGGAGAGGAAGAACACTGAGTCCTGCCCCTAAACGACTTTGTGTGGCTAC